AAAAAAAAAAAAAAAAAAGTCATAAACAAGGAAATAAAGTGCCATGAATGGGAGTCAACAGAAACAATGAGCAGCATAATCAGACCCACAGACTATAGATGTCATAATTATCATAAATCGAATACAAAATATATATGTTTAATATGTTGTAAGAAACAAATGAACAAGAAACATATAATCTCAAATGAAAAAAAGGTCAAGCACACTTAAAAAGAACCAAATATAACAAATAGGAATAAAAACTAAATTACCTAAGAAAAATATTAAAAGTCTTACTCCTAAGGGAAATACTAATCAAAACCATGAGATATCACATTACACCCATTAAAGTGGCCACTATAAGAAAAAATAGAAAATGATAAGTTATCAGCAAGAATGTAAAAAATTGGAACCCTTGTACACCATTTATAGGCTGATAAAATAATGCACCCACTATGGAAAAAGTTTGGTAATTGCTATGTTTTTGAGGGGTTTTAACATTTTTTTCTTTTTCTTTTTCTTTTATTGCATTTTAGGTTTTGGGGTACATGTGAAGAACATGCAAGATTGTTGCATAGGTATACACGTGGCAGTGTGATTTGCTGCCTTCCTCCTTCTCACCTATATCTGGCATTTCTCCCCATGCCATCCCCTCCCCCAACTCCCCACCCCTCATTGTCCGTCCCCTATTTCCCCCCAACAGACCCCAGTGTGTAGTGCTCCCCTCCCTGTGTCCATGTGTTCTCATTGTTCAATACCCGCCTATGAGTGAGAACACGCGGTGTTTGATTTTCTGCTCCTGTGTCAGTTTGCTGAGAATGATGGCTTCCAGGTTCATCCATGTCCCTACAAAGGACACGAACTCATCGTTTTTGATGGCTGCGTAATATTCCATGGTGTATATGTGCCACATTTTCCCTGTCCAGTCTATCATCAGTGGGCATTTGGGTTTGTTCCAGGTCTTTGCTATCGTAAACTGTGCTGCAATGAACATTCGTGTGCATGTCATTTTTTTCTTTTTCTTAAGACAGGGTCTCACTCTGTTGACCAGCCTGGAATGCAGTGGCACAACTGATATAAGATTTAAAGAGAAAATATTTAGGCAGTTAGTGAGGGTACAGATGTACTCAGTAAAGTTTTTCTTTTAATAAAAAGCAACCCTGAAATCCTTTATTTTCTAACAAAAAGCAGCCTGAAAAAAATCAATCTGCAAGCATAGATAAGCAAGCTGTAAGCTTGCATAGGTGAATGTCAGCAGGTGTGCCAGAAGGCAAGTACATCAAACATGGAGGTCTTCTTCTTCCTCCTCTTTGTTGCCATGGGTGTGGGTGTCATGGAACCCGCCAGGTAGAGACCCCATCTGCATGATAAAAGATTAGCGTGAGATGGCCAGCCTCTTTGCAGGCTAAGTGGCACACCTGGTCCAACCAATCCACTAGGTCCTATGTAAATTAGTCACCACCTCCTGAAGCCCCTCTATAAAATCAAATGCATCCCACTGTGAACGGGGAGATCCATTTGGAAACCCCTCCCTATACACAGGGGAGCGAGCTTCTTGTTTCTCTCGCCTATTAAACTTTCCACTCTTAAACGCACACGTTGTGTGCCCACGTCTTCACTTTCCTTAGTGTGAGACAATGAACCTCAGCGATCCTACTTCACAATCATGGCTCACTGCAGCCTCAACTCTCC